TGTTTTAAGGGTTAGTATAGTGATTTTTCAGGGTAAAAATTAATATTACAACAATTGTTCAAATCGATACTTTAAGCGAAGTTTTTTACTTAAATTATTTTAACACGTCGCCGGACACTATTAATAATATATAAATAAAAAAATAAACTATCTAATAGACAATAGTAATATAAAATAATTAAAAATATTCATAGAAATAGAGAGGCTGAGTGTCCGCATAGAATCGTTGCAATGATTCATCAATTATTAAGCGTGATGAAAAATCAAAATTAMAGATGAATGATTCATGGAATGAAGAATCCTCCCACTGAAGGAACTTGGACATAATAGTATATAAGCTAACAATTGTTATAAGTCACTTTAAATGGTCATAGTTGACTATCAGTTTGGTATATTATTCTATTATTATGTAGTTACAATTTGACGATACAGGCCAAATAACTTTATGTTAATTAAATGGCTCTACATTATTTGCGGCCATATTACAATCAATAGGTACGTTTCAATTTTTGCCCAACTATGTTCATTTTGTTTTACYTTAAATGTCCTATATACGATGACTTAACGTGTATTGTACGGGCTGGCTATTAATGATTGTGAAAGATTGCATCATAAGTACAATTCGTTATTTTGTACACACAATTATCTAGATATAGGTATATATATACATTTTCGGGAATATCAAAAAAAATTCGAATTGACATCAAAATAGCAAAATAGCCCTACGAACGAGAAAACCAAAAAAAAAAAAAACTACAAGCAACAAAACTTTATTCATCGGAGACAACATAAATCAACTTAAAATATAATAAAATATACCTAAGATTGTAGATTTTGTCAAGAAAATGGCAAGACAGTTCGCCTCTTCGTGGTGCACCCTGGGTGGGCGTATGTAATTTGCGCCAAAATCAACTCAAAAAAAATAAAAATAAATATATGTAATTTGTGCCACATCTAAAAATGTATTTTGGTAATTTGCGCCACTTTTTAAATTTGTAATTTGCGCCAAATATAAAATTAAATAAAAAAGAATTATGTAATCTGTGCCCTAGACTAGGTACCTACTAAAATTGTAATTTGCGCTTTTTTCCACCTTATTAAAATAGTAATTTGCGCCACTTATATTATAATAACATAAATAACTCCATGTATATTAAATATGTAAATTATCGTTAAGTAATAAAACATATTATAAAAATCAGTSATATTAAACTCGTAATTATAAATAAATGTATATACAAAATCAAACTCCATGCATATTTAACTTCTAAATATTGTCGTTAATTAATAAAACCTATAAAAATCAGTCATAATTATAAATAATTCGACGATATTGAGACGATAATATATTGATCCGACACGCGTCGGACGCATCAGAAYGTAKTATTGTATATCMTATGCGATATCGCTAAATTTATCTGCTGGTAAATTCCAACTGCTATTMAAGTTGAAAGTATGGCGCAAATTGCATAATATTCCATTTTGTTTTCTTTAGTGGCGCAAAATACCAAAATTAATAAGTATATGTGGCGCAAAATACATGTTATATTTTGGCGCAAATTACATACGTACTTAAATGTACCTATTCGTGGCGCAAATTACAAGAAATAAAAGTGGCGCAAAATTC